ACAATACCGACCAACATCCTGGCGGCAGTTTCACCTGGGATGGACATGGCATCTTGTATTTGGGCCAGCGAGCCGGTCTTGTCCAACGAGCGGTTGAGCCTCGCTGTAATCACACATGAGTTCAACACGTGAATTAACGCAGGTGAGACACATACACATGTCGGTGTCGACTATGCCAGGAGCCAGAGGGAAGCAAACTGGGAGAACGATGAGCAACGAGATAAAAGGCAAAGGAGCACAATGCTTACTGAGCCACTCGTTCTCGAAGTGAATCCTGCGGACAATGTAGTTGAGGGCGGCTTTGGATGCACCGTAGCAGGCCATTCCTGCTGGCATCTGAATAAATGCAGTAAAACTCGCTGCGCCCGTGGTTAAGGGGATAAACTTGGGCTCCTTGCTGGACTTCAAGAGATTATACAAGGCTTGGAAAAGGACCGCGACGCCGACGGCGTTGACTTCGAAATGGTCTCGGAATTGGTCGACGGGCGTTTCCAGGACGGTTCCCAGATAGTTAGAGATGCCTGTAACGAGTTCAATAATCGTTTAAACAAAAACGAAATAGAGAGATTTACCGGCCACAGCTACGACGGTATCGACGTGGCCAAACTTGGCTTCGATGTCTTGAGCGAGAACTTTGTTGTTCTCAACATCACCAGCGATGTACTTGAGTGCGTGAATCTTGCCAGGATATTTCCTGGAGATATCGGCAATTGCTTGGGATGAGATATCCCGGGCAGCAGCAATGATGGCGACGTCTTTATCAGCGTTGTTCGTCGCGATCTCGTTCAACATGGCGAGGCCTAGAAAGGGAGTAATATGTTAGTCGGGGTTTGGGTGCCCGGCACACCAATGAAACGCACCAATTCCTCGGTTAGCGCCAGTTATGAGGTAGACTTTGGTGGAGGGAGACATGACTGAGGGTGATGATTATTTCCATGGAACGACGCCCATATTTATTGGGAGGAGCTGGTCTAGGTTATTTTTAAATTGTATTGACAGAGACGGGCCCTGCGCGCAGGCCACCAAGATTTCTCAGCGACGGATAAAGTATTTCTAAGCAGCTCTAGGTCGTCATTGTAATGTCAAGCAAGACATGTAGCCGGAGAGGTAGCTCAGTGATGAATAGGTTCGGCAGGAGTAGTCATAGTGGTAACAAGTGGGCGAAGAGACGCGTATTGAAAGTGGTACGCCACGGGAGTGGTGGTGTGAGAGCAAGCCTAATAAGGAAATAGAGCGCTAATCCTGACCACCGACCATCATGATCGTTTCCAGTGCAGCTGCCCGAGCACGTATTCCTGCCCGTCTCTCCCACCTACGCCGTAGGAGACCTTGGGCTCGTCTGGAACGTGTCTCGATGTTCGCTCAAAGTCGGACGGAGTGCGGCCATTGCCGGCGAATCTGTCAAACACGCTGTAAACGAAGCTGGAGCGCTCTGATCTGCTTCACTTACTGGCAGGATCACCACGGTTCTTGGGCGCGTCGGGGAAAGCGAATTACAACGTTCATTAGAAAGGGCTTGGATCGTACGCGCTCCGGTAGTCGGAACCTCAGGTGCCACGCGTCACCGTGCTAGCCGGCCTCACACAAACCCTAGAAATCTTAAATCTACTAGAAGGCTTCTACAACCTCGCCGCTTCAGGTGATTCGAATGCCATTAAAGCGGCCGATATCGCCGTTGGGCCTGGGGGGATTTCACAATCGATCGCTCATCTCTCTGCTTCTTGCCTTCTTCGTAATGCCCTCCATAGTCACCGCCAGTGAACCGTGGTGGAAGTCGTCCACCGTATACCAGATCTACCCAGTCTCATTCCTTGACACGACCGGAGACGGTTTCGGTGACCTGAATGGCATCCACTCCAAGCTCGATTACTTGAAGGATCTGGGTGTAGATGTGATCTGGTTAAGTCCAATCTATAAGAGTCCATTGGCGGATATGGGGTACGATATGCAAGTGTCTATTTGTTCTTTCAGCGCGCGGAGGCTAATTGTCATTCAGTGCTGATTATCGTGCAATCGACTCGCGTTATGGGACGTTAGAGGATTGGGATAACCTTTTGAAAGGCGTCCACGAGCGAAAGATGAAACTGATGTGAATCCTCGCGGTTATACCTTTACAGAAGAAATCTGACCAGAATCAGGATGGACCTTGTTGCTAACCACACGTCTGATGAGGTTTGTCTTTTCCCCATTATCCCAAAAACTGCCCGCTAATATAATATCATCAGCACGATTGGTTCGTTCAATCCAAACGAAGCAAAGATGACCCCAAACGCGACTGGTATATCTGGCGACCCGCGAAATATGATTCTGACGGCAAGCGCCACCCGCCCAACAACTGGAGATCAGTATTTGAAGGTCGCATTTCTTTATCGTCCTTCTCTTCTTTCCGTTGACAACATACATAGGCTCAGCATGGACCTATGACGAGGCTACCGACGAGTATTACCTTCACCTGTACGTCGAGAAGCAACCAGATCTCAATTGGGACAACCCCGTTGTGCGCGACGCCGTGTGGGACCTTATGCGCTTCTGGTTGGATCGGGGCTGCGATGGATTCCGGATGGACGTCATCAACATTATCTCCAAAGTCGATGGACTCCCCGATGCGCCTGTTGTCGACAAGGACGAAGAATATCAACCTGCCAGCATGTACTACGCTAACGGCCCTCGCGTGCATGACTATATTGCGGAAATGCGCGACAATGTACTATCACGTACGCCGCTACTTTCATTTGGTTTCTCTACATTTGCTTACCAGGTATAGATTATGATCTTATGACCGTTGGGGAGACCCCGTTTACACACTCGACGGAGGAACTCGCGCGCTATGTTCTACCGAAGAACAATGAACTGAACATGGTGTTCCAATTTGAGCTGATGCACCTGGACCAGCCTGACCATGTCGATGCCAGCCCACTTGAACATCACGATTGGAAAGTTGCGGAGCTGCGCGACACCGTCAGCCGATGGCAGGTCTTCAAGCGCGATGAAGGATTTTGGAATGCGTTAGTGCATTTTCGTTTCCAGTTTTATCTACGCATCACTAACAGGAGCTTCACAGCATTTTCATCGAGAATCACGACCACTCTCGTTCTGTCTCCCGTTTCGGTAACGACTCAACCGACGAGCTCCGCACTATATCGGCGAAGCTTCTCGCGATGTTGGAGATCACGCAGAAAGGCACTCTGTATGTCTACCAAGGTCAAGAGTTGGGCATGAAGAACTTCCCTCGAAGCTGGGCCCTAGAGGAGTATAAAGATGTCGCGACGCAGAATTATTGGAACAGGTTCGTCATCCATATATGCACCTGCTTAGATTGCTGACATGATATCAGAATTTTGGCCCGGCGCATGCAAGAGCAGAAAAAGAAGGCCGAAGATGTCGACATGCAGGATGTTCTCGACGATTTCCAGAAGAAAGCAAGGGATCATGCGAGGACGCCCATGCAGGTAAACCAACTTAATCGATACTGCTAACTGGATCTAGTTTAATATCTGTCATCAGTGGGACGCGTCCTTGCATGGTGGATTTACGAGCGGGAACACTCCTTGGATGCGCGTCAACGACGACTACAAATCCTGGAACGCCGCATCGCAGCTCAACGACGAAGAGAGCGTGCTGGCATTTTGGAAGAAGGCACTGGTCGTAAGGAAGCAGTATCCCATCCTCGTACGTCTAGCATCCTCTCCTGAGTGATGACACTAATTAGCACGCTTCGTAGATCTTTGGGGAATTTGAGCTTCTCCTCCCGGATCATGGACAGGTGTTGGCGTATAAGAGGACACGTGGCGATTCGCAGGCATTGGTCTTGTTGAATTTCAGTAACAGCGCTGCCAAGGTTGAGGTTGAGGGTGGAAAGTGGCAATTTGTGTTGGGCAACTACGCCGTCGAGGAGGGTGGTGCATGTGACTTGAAGCCGTATGAGGGGCGACTGTATGTGGCGCTTTGAATTTGAATCAGGTTTTGCAATGGCACGATCCCCACAATGGACGTTCGAGGACTAGCATTTCTCGGCGAAGTAGTAGGTATTATGCTTGGGGACGGCGTGTGGCACACAGAGTTTGGCGGAAATGAAGGGAGATCCTCACGATTCAAGTCGCGGAAAATTGAAAGCGGTCCCGCATTACAGGACAGATGTGTAGTACACCGTCGAATGAAGGCCGGATGTGGCGTACACGCTGGAAGAACTACCATGATCTTCATATTGGTGAACTATCTACACAGTAGACGTCTAATACCAATTCTGACGAGATTCTCTACAACTTTGTGGCCGCCGCTTCCGTATTGTTTGCGTGGGCATCCAGTATTGCGCCTACGGAGCCGCTCTTGTCCAGCGCGCGGATGAGTCTTGCTGGGGTCATACATGAGTTCGACAGGTCAAGTACTAACACAGGCAGACATACACATGTCCGTGTCGACCGGGCCTCCGAGTCCCAGATCACTGGCCGGGGCTGGTGTATAAGACTCAGAGGATGAATGCCAAATTTGCAGGTAGTGAAGATTGAGATCAAAGATGGCAAGGAGATACATCGTGAAATGGGGTAAGTTAGGCATTAATGGGGTAGTGGTAACCTGGGTCGTTGCCATTGTCGAAATATCTGACTTTTGTCGACCCGCCGGGGGTTCGATTCCCCCTTAATGCACTTTCGGCTGAAAATAACGTTTTTGCCCTGGGAGCAGTATTAGGGTGGCGTAGTAAACCTACGCCCCCCGTAAGTTCCGGTAAGTCTCAAAATAACCAAAATAACCATCATTATAACCTGAAATAACAGGGTCTTCCTAGGGTAGTAGCACGAGCGGGTGCACATGCTGGACCCTGCGATCAGAAGCACGATGTATCAAGATTCAATCGCGTCCTCTTGACGCGTTGAGGATATTTCTGTAATGAAAAACATCTCACGGAAGTGCATGATGCATCCAGTGTCATTCACCGTGGAAGTCTGCATCCTGCGCGCGCGCTCTGCCGTGATCTAGAACGACGCGACCGACGCGACCGACGCGACCGACGCGACCGACGCGACCGAATCACTAAAGGGATCAATGCCGGGTATAGGCATTCATATAACAAATCGCTCTCAAAGAACCACCCCGTTCTTGTTAGTCTTAGAGCACTTGTCAGTCTTAGAGTGTGAGCCCTCAGCCTGAGGTCAACATTAGCAGAGTCGGAATACTGACATGAGCCTCAGGCTGTAACGTGCTACCACAAAGCAAAATACGATGGCTATTCAACAATGCGGGCGATAGACTCATAGAGGTCCAGGTAATCATGATGCACGTGTAGCGCGCGCCGCGCGGAGGCGAGCGAACATGTTACATTGCTCCCCGGTTCAATCCAAATGGGTAGTTACCATTTGTACCACAGTCACACTGATGGGCTACACACCCACACTGAAAAGGTCAACACACACTCACACACTCGTTGCGTCCGTACACACTGAAGTCATCCCAAAGTGCCATCATGGCTACGGAACATGTATCCGCATTTCCGCTTGTTCCCACGGTTCGCTTTCTCTCATTGACCACATCCTGCGCGCCCTCAGCTTCGCCTCCCGGCGCTCCCCGCCGACCGGTCATGGCGCATCTGCGTGCGCGTGGATGACACCATGAAATCGACCGAATTGCGCACTCCCGACTCAGTGTATAGACCAGGCAACCGGACGACGACCGAAGCTTGATGCCTGCCACGATGTCAGCAAGGCTGGTGGATACGCTCCCACTTTCGAGGGGCGGGGATACGGGGAACGTGAAGCTCTGGATAGGTGCGTTTTATAGGTATCCTTCAGTACTAATAGCGATGCTAATGTTCGCTTTATGTAACAGCACCGACGCAAACACACCTCCCTTCCCGACGCCCGATCCCCAACATGTTCGCTCGCTGTCTTGTCAGCATCCCGCACCCGCGCACTTGGCGCGCTCATCTGTCGGATTTCGTTACGCGGCTCTGCCTTGTCATACCGGAAAAGGCCATAGATAATTGTATTATAATTATTTACCTCGGTGACAATTTAAAATACTTTATGCAATCCCTCTTCGAGCTCTTTCGAGCTTCGCTCTCACTGTCAGTACTTACTCAGTCCTGACATGGCGGCGGTGTAGCGTCTGCTGCCGAGATGCCGGGCCATACACACTCGTTTGAACTGCACCAGTGTGTGCAAGAATTTTGGTGTGTATCACAATTTTAAGTGTGTATCGACTTTTTTCAGTGTGTGTGTGTGTTCGGTCAGTGTGACTGTGGTGTAAATGGATATTCCCTAATCCAAATCGGGATTGAGGATCTTCCGAGATCTTGGAAGAACTGCCGGTATTTTGTCCGTTATTTCGGCTTATGACCTAAGTCCGTTCAGACGAGGGGTTTTTCAAGTTTTTCAAGTTGGGAAAAGAGGAGAAGAAAAGAAGGAGAGAGAGAGGTTTATTAAGTATATATCAATCTATCTACGGCTTATTTTGATGCCAAATGCAGGCGTTAGCGTAAAACTTGAATTCAAGTCCGCCCGATCGCCGATTTGGCTTGGGTTCGGTTTTCAAGCCCAAGTCCATTTGGAGAATGGTCCGTTTTTGGACTTGGGTCGCAGCCAATGGTTTTCAAGATTCTAATCTCAAGATTAGATTCTTTTGCTCAGCACGCCGGCGTCATCAACGTTCTTGCCTCTGACCGCCATCTCCGCCATATCTCTCTCGACACACGGCGACGCGACATTGCGCCCTCCCAGGACCGTCACCAACACTGTTGCTAGGGCGTCGTTCGCCTAGCAACGGAGTCGTTCTCATCTGTGTCTTCCCCGCGCACGTCCAGCACAATGTTCTGGCTCTCCGGCAACCACTAGAAATCGACGAGAGCCATCCGCCCCACCGGTGAGTGGGCTTCGAGAGCGGTATGGCGGGATTTATGGTGCAGGTTCGTACTCATTCTTCTATTTATTTCAGCCAGATTCTTGGCGGCGTCGACATAGTAGTGTCGACGTTGCTGGATTGACTAATTTCATCATTTCAGACTAGATCTACGGCGGAAATTTTCTCGACAAGCTGAACGCGGCCACGCTTCCCACCAACTCATCCCCCTTCCGCATTCTTACGCGCTGCGCCAGTACTCCACTTCTCCATCCATTTAATTCCTGCTCACTTGGCTTGCCTCCCAAAAGCCCCAACAGACGCCCTTCAGCATCCAGGGATGCATGTTCCTTCAACCCATCTATCCTCATCAGGAATCCAGCGTATATGGCGATATCCCTGAGCCACATAGTCGGGCAGGCGCCATGTCCGCGCACCTGGAGGCGGCTCACGGCGTACGGTGAATGCCGACGCGTCGACCGGCGCATCCGTAGCTACATTGTTCGGGACGGACACAGGCGCATCGCGTTTCTTCACGGGTTTGAGCGAGACGAGCTTTGACGTGAGTGCGAGCGCGTCCTGCGCATCGCGAAGGCGTTGACTCCGTCCTGCGGGCGATGAGTGTTTGCCAGGATTTTTCGGGGCTTTGGGACGGCGGGAAGAACCGCACGAACCTGCGATATGTTGGGCATGGCGAGATGGGGAGTGAGCGGCGGACAGGGAGGTCGGTGAACACGCAAGAACAGCAGGGGAGTCGTCGAGACGCGTAGCCGATGATGGCTCGGGAAGAACTGCCGTGTGCGTGACAGTCGAATGAGAGGAAGGGTTGTGGCGGCCGAAGGGCGCAACCTATGCCAAAGATGAGCTCAGTAGTCCAAATGTGTAGAAACCACGCACCAATCCAAGGGTTTGGCCCTCGCTCGCAGAATGCGATTCTCCGTCACGAGGGGTATCTCCATCTCCCAGCTCGCTACCCTCCTCATCGGTGTCGTCGTCGGTGCAGTCTCGGTGCGCCACCTCACTCGTACTTCCTGCGTCTTCCTCACCTCTCACTTCTTCCGCATCGCCGCTGCACGCGCCGACTCGACACGCGGACACGGATGTCATCGCCATGCTGGTGATCTGTCACACTCGTCGATCGTGTTGGATGTGGCCACGGACGCCTACACCTCTGATTCTGTTTGATATTTTTCTTTCGTTCATTTACCCTTATATTACTCATATGCATGCTCACTGCGCGTATCGCGATTCTCAGTCTCGAAATATAATACAAATACTTTTCCCTTACTTACCTTGTATCCTTTCATCATGTTCATGCCTACGTCTACGTTTCATTATGGCATTTGACAGCCTCTTAAATAGCTGTACTCTTCCAATGTCACCTTACCTTTGCTTTCCCCAGATGTGATTGAATTAACTGTGAGTCATCGTTGTGGAAGGTCCAATAATGATTTGATACTCGACTACACCGGATTCTACTACACTCATACTTCCTCATAACCACATTCCACACTCAGCATTAGCTTCTTGCATGGTCACTGTACTGTCCCAAGAAGAACACGGCGGGAGGAAGTGACCGGTGCACAGGACATGTTGGGGGATGCGTTTGAGATGTGACTGTTTGCTGAGACGTGGAGGCACTGAAGCCTGCAGTGTATTTGTTGTTTTTTTGAAGGGAGGTTCTTCGTCTTTCTCCCAGATCCCGACCGTGAACCCCCCTCCACGTTCTTCATAGCTCGGCCACATGGAATCCTGCCGGAGGGTTACTGGGTGGCATAGTCAATAGTAAAGCAGATGAAAGATGAGGAGAATGCTGTTGCGGGCTGTTGAGGCGTCGGTGAACGAGATAAAGCGCGCCCGGCGCGTGTCATTCCATTCGGTTGTACTGACAGCACATCACGGCTACAATAAACCGGACCGTAAGGGGCCGCGACCTAAGTCCCGATCGGGACTTAGCATGAACTGACTTGAATCAA